ACACTTTACTCAGTTGTTTCCGTGTAGTACTGTTGCCACATATGGGCAAGAGCTACCCAGTCTTCACCTTCCAGTCTCGATAGAATTCAAAAAAGTCTCCGCATCCTTGTGCGTGACGAAATATTATCCATTTTTCAACTTCATTTTCACAGACGAAACGTCGCGAGCCTCTTGCTACTCTATCGCTATTTCCATGGAAAATGTTCAGACTAACTACATTCCTTAGTTGCACCAGTTCTAACCTTCAAAGCAGAGACCCGCCATACAATGCACATTGTAGCAAACCATCCTTATTCCCTTTGTATTCTATTAATGGAATGTAAGACCCCGCTGCTTTGTGGAACAGTATCCCAAGAGGATGCTTCCCCAATCACTACAATCTTAACCTGTTCACATCAAGGGTTAACCATTATATCCTCATAAACTGTATCTCTTACTCTGTAAACCTCTCTTAAACATCATTCTAAAAAATAATGGTTATAGATTCTTTCTTTTTCCTTTTATAATGCAAGTAAATGGTTTCACAATAGAATTGGTAACAATTAACCAGTGTTAGTAAAATTTCCAAAATGTACTTATATTTACATAATTTAATCTCTGCTTATAATATTAATTTGTAATACTTATTTTCAATGACCTATTTGTTGGTATGTGATTTTATTATGCAATTCGAAGCTTTTTTATCATATTGTAAATAATTATATACTGGGTGCACTAGGTTATTGAGAACAAATAATACAAAGAAAACAAAAACATTAAATACAAAAAACAGTATACTTTCAAATGCATTTGTACATATATTTAACTTGCAAAAAAATCCATTCAAATTATTGAGTATCAATGTCCGGGACGGCTTTGATGCGGCCTTGGAAACAACCGAATACCCGAAGGTGGTTCTCGTTCACGATGGTGGCGTTCAAGGAGTCCTTGAAATTATTGAGCCTCTAGTTGCTTTTCCTACCAACGTCGCTTCATACGTGGTAGTCCAGAGGATTCAAATCAAGAGTTAGGGATCACATGTTAGGAGTAACATGATCATGAAAATTCAGGGCCAGCCACTTCTGGCTCATATGGGTTATGTGGAAGAGTCCTCCTAAAATATGTACAGCTACTATTCGGTCTATGGATTAATGATCATGCAAAGGTGTAGACGGCGACACTGACTCTGAAGCCATTCGGGAGGAAGTTGGATGGCATGAGATGGCTCTCGTTATTCTTAACACCCATCACTCTCACAGACGACATGAACATGCTACAGTGGGGGCTATGATAAGTTTTTAGCCACCCTTAATTACAGCAATTTTGGCTTGTGTAATAACGTATCTTCTATTTTTCAGAGAATACCGTGTTAGCATCAAGCTACTCTAATCTCTAAGGAACGATAGTTGTCTTATATTTTGCAATGAAAGTTCGCGGAAGTAATAAAATTGATGAATTTCAACAAGGGAAATAATAGGATGGCATCAGTGTGACAAGTCAGATAGAGAAATTGCTAGCTTTTTTTTCAGGTTAATCATCAAACGGTTAATAATATTGTCAAGAAATTTAATGAAGACTAAGCATCGTGTCTGAGCGAACGAAAAAGGCGCTGAAGTTGGAAGTCATCAGAATGCGGTGAGAAAGACTCTGAAAGAACTAGGCTATCAAAGAAGAGTTGCAAGAAAAAAAACCCTTGATTTCAGAGGTTAACAGGAACCTTCATATGGACTGGGCAAGAGAATTCGAGAGCAAAGATTATGAATTTTAGCAGTCTGTAATTTGGGCAGATGAAAGTAAATTCTGCCAGAATTCAAATTCGAGAGTGGTTTATGTTTGGAGAAATCAGAATGTGACTTGGAACACTGAATTTCTGTATGCAACCGTGAAACATGGAAAGATAAGAGTGATAGTCTGGGGTGCTGTCCGGTTTGGAGGGAAATCTGGGCTGATTCTTGTTGATGAGTGGCTTAATGGTCCAAAATACTGTCAAATATTAGAGAAAGGACTACTCCCACTATTTGAAACCAATCAGATTGACAAGAATGTCTACCTTTATCAAGAAGACGAAGCGCCATGTCATGAGAGTAAGGTAGCAAAGGCCTGGAAGAAATCGCAAGGAATCAAGTCACTGCTATAGGTAGCCTAAAGTCTTGATATAATCCTATCGAGCACGTTTTGACGCACTTTCACCAAAAACTTTGAGAGCGTGCAACCAAAATCATGTCAGTGGCAACCCTTAAAGAAACATTGCTAAACGAGTAGCAAAATATGGATCAGACGATTGTTGATCACTTGATCAAATCCATGAAAAATCGAATACAAGCACTGAAACTAGCAAATGGAGGGCCTACTCTATACCAGTTTCAAATACTGTTTATTTATGTTGAGTAGGGATTACGTAATTAAATTTTGATATGGGATGTAGTTTATTTCTCCTGGCTAAAAATTTTTCTTTGGCTACTGTATGAATGACTTTCGGTATCTCCGTAGTGACCGTGCAAAATTACATATCGTTCGTTTTGTTCACCTGGCTACCTTCAAAAATCTGATTTTCTCTGAAATCTTGTGATTGTAAAGTCGCATCACGACTACGTTGTACCCTTTCATTTCCCTTGTCAGGTTGTTTCTGTCATCTTAATGCTCTCATACGTCTAAAAGAAAAAATCGAATGTAAAAGTTTGCCCATGACGAGTAACATTACTTTAGGTCGTTTTATATTATAACACCCGCTAATGATGTTTTCTCAAATTCCTTGTGTACCCTGTATCTTAGTATTGTTATTGATATTTTTTTTTTTAAATTATATAAAGATTTCAAAGGGTCGTTATAAAGATATAACTTCAAGGATATTATAAATTTATTGAATTATTGGAAGGGAAATGTTGTAAATTGGATTGAAATTTAACAGAGATCACACAACGATCAAAAAATGGAATTGAAAACGTTAGAAAGCTAAGTCCAAGAAAAAAACTAGAGGCTACGTTAACATATATAAATAAGGAATTAATAATTGTATATAGAATAGCATGTTAATCATATATATATATATATATATATATATATATATATATATATATATATATATATATATATATATATGTTTGTGTGTGTGTGTGTGCATGGCCTATTTCCTTATTTGTCCTTAGTTCGCATAATAAAATCTGACACTTTCAAAACATGTTATTATTAATATTCTAAATAAGAATAAATATTTAAATTTGTAGCTCGCAAGATACACTGGAATCAAACAGCTTGCTTACGGATAGAAAATGAATTCAGTAAACAGACAAAATCCCAAAAAGGCGTAGAACAAGAATGTGTCTTTTCACCGGACTATATTCAACCTTTACAATGAGGTGAACATGAAAGAATTAGGCGTCCTACCAGGATTCATTATTGGCGGCCACAATCTTACGAACATATGATATGCAGATGACACAGTGCTGATAACATACTCAGAAAGGAAAATACAGGAATTCATACAGAAGGTAAAAAATCGAGGACGAAACATAAATTGTAAGAAGATAGAATCTATGGCTAAAACGACATCTCATTATACGAATACCGGTTTGAATGCATCAAAATCAAGCAAGTCTAAAAATTTAAATATCGGGGAAAAATTTTAACAGACGACTGAAAATACGATATCAAAATCCGAAGGCACCTTGAAATAGTGAAAGTTGCCTTCCAAAAGCTAAGCAAAGTATTAAAAACATGAAAATTTAGTTCGAAACAAAGCAAAAATACTCAAATGTTATGCAATATCGGTCCTACTATATGGTAATAAATGATAGATAATCCCCTCGGAGATAAAGAAGAGACTTGAAGCAACAGAAATGTGGTTCGAGAGATGCTGAGAATATCATAGACTGAATATGTGTGAATAACGAGGAATTGTAAGGAAAATGGAAAAACAGAAGACACTAATACTTAGAATCAGAAAGAGACAATTGAAATTTCTATGACAAATAATGGAGGAAGAGTACTTGGAGAATTAGACATTCATAGAATACATTGAAAGCAAGAGGGTCCAGAGGTAAGCAGCGAATAACCAACCTAATAAGCTCGTGTTGGCAGAACATGAATTAAAAGTGATAACAAAAAGACAAACCATACTAAGAGCTACAAATGACAGGACGTTGTGGAGAGTCATGATTACCTAAGTGCCTTAGTAGTCGGGAAACCTGTGTGGCATACATATAGAAATATCCTTTTATATATATATGTTTTTGTGGCCGATAGATCGCTAGTACTAAAATCACAAAAATCAATTATCAATTATCTGTAGTTCACTTATGTCAAGGGAAATATCTATGTTAGGATTAACTTCTTTTGTGTAACAATTGAACAATTAGCCTAGAGTAAAAATGCTTTGACTTTTGTCAGTTTTTAATGGCAGTTTTTTTCAATTAGAAAAGCAATCAGGAATTTTGAAATTTAGGGAAAAAATAAGACAACAGAGGCACATTAATATTTCATAAAACGTCTAAACAAACATTGTATAAATTACATAAACCGGGTGATGTTCATTTTCTTCTTAAGATAAAAGGTGATAATGTTGCCAAATATAAGATAAAATTAAATGAAAATTATAACAACTAAATATATTTGTTACTTTAAACATCTGTATATATTTATGTTTTATATTCTACAAAAAAAGAAGAAAAAATGAAATAAAAATACAATGAAAAGCATTAGATATAGGTAGGTAGACATAGGGATAAAAAAAAGTAATTGGAACAGTAGACATTTGTCTATTCTTCGGCATTATTTTGTCACAACAGAAACACTTTTAGCTGCGAATAAATGTGCGAATAAATGTGCTTCTGCGAAGCCGTCGAACATTGTTAAATCTGTTATTTTTTTGTGTCTCACCTGACGTCGGCACCAACTATCCACCCCTAAAAATCTCAGCGAATATGACAAATGATTTCCCCGATTTATCGAAATTTCATTTTTTTTTTCCTTACCACGCGGCTTTACTCCTGTTTCCGTTTAGTCCATTTCATTTCCGGTCTTACATTGGCGACATTGTCTCTTTTTCCCGTTCCTTTGCCAACATTTTATCCTGGTGTCGCGAGAACTTAATTGCTTCCATTCATCTCATGGAACACAATTGTGTGCGTAGGAACAAGGCTATTGGGAAGAGACGTGGTATTGTGAAATGTCACAATGACTAGAACTAGCTTCTTTGCATGTTATGCCCTCAAGTGAAGAACAATATTTTAATTAGACTGCTATCATAGAACTAATTTCGCTAAAAGATATCTATAGCTTTCTGCAAAATTTGGTGTAATATTATGAGAAAAAAATCAATTCGAAATTTGAATTTTTAAATGTGCGACAAAGAAAAAAGTTAAGTAACCGGAATAGCAGATTGGACTTTAAATAAAGTGTCATTGCTATATAAAATAAGAAGCATCAACACCTGTTACAAAAATATAAATATTTTTAAAAGTAGTGTAATTTCTTGAAATGTTAGATATAATCTAATACTTGGGGAAACCAGTGTGCTTTACATATTTAAACATTCGTTTATATAAGATGTACTTTTAGTGACCAATCAATTGCTGATATTGGTGACATTACAAAAACCAATTAGATGTTTTTATTTATGGCAACGGAAATATTTATAGTTTCACTAACTTCTTTTGTGGGCCAAGAGTATGTATTTTAGGGACTGAATCACAGTAGAACAAGTAGTATGCACTTTATTTATTTCCCAAAATTCAAATAAAACACCCTGATCGATGAAAACTGTTTATGTCATTAAGGTTCGATCATTTTTTCAGTTTCCTAAGTTAATACCTAGTGGCCAACAAGATCAACCCAAACATATCAAATATGTGACATCTCAATTCACGATTCCATTACTAATCCATAACATGTAATATCAAGTAAACTAACATTAGAAATTACATTTTCATTAGGATGAGCGGCTATGTCATTCGGGCCATGAAATATGAGTTTATTTTTCAAACCTCATAAGTTTTCATTTATAATACGGGTTTGGTTATACTGTCCTTGGCCAAAATTCTACATTTAATCTGTGAGTTATTTTACTGATTAAAACATGTTACACTTATTTCATGAACATTCAGATTATACGGATCTATTCATGTATTTGCTCAATTTATGTGAACTGTTTTCAATAAAACTTTATGCAAACTTATTCCAGCTGATGGTACGTTTTTGCATAAGCAAATCATGCGCAGCAGTAACACCGGAATGTATCAACTGCAGGTAAAAGCAAATATAGACACAGTTTTAGAATTCTTAAATTATCCTGATGAAAAAAATATATAGTGACGTAAATTAGAATTGCAACACTTTCAAGAAACGATGTGGATTTTGACCTGTGTACAGTATAAACATGCTAGCAGGTAACAGATATTCTGATAAAAATTTTCAAAGTCTCCAGCCATCTTATGGCATACTAACTCTCACACCAGTGCACCGTCTGTGTGATAAGTTTCAGTGCAGTGAAAGATTCTGATGCAAGCAAGTTTCATCGCACAGATTCGTATTTGTGTTCCTTTACATCTACGCCACAACAATGGCAAGGATGACTTCAGAGGAGGTCTCCAGTGAGTATGAATGACGCTCTGAAGAGTTATTCGATAAAAGTAGGTTCAGCCTTCGTGCAATGGATATTATTTTGCTTGTGTGACGTAGATCTAGAGAGTAAATCATTTATTATGTATTTTCGCCCGACACCCAAGCCTTACTTCTGACATCATGGCGTGGTGTGTCAAAAGTGTGTCAAAAGTTACAACTCTCGGTCGCCTTTAAAGAGAAAGCATTGACCATATATGTCCCAAACATTGTTCAACTGGTTTTGCTCCCATTCTTTCAATAGAATTCGCTGTTCCATTAGTATAATATCTGCCTACATGATAATTGTGTTACAAAGCAAATTTTTTCCTCGTTGAACATTTATCGAATATTATGGGAATACATCTAACTAGTTTAGCTAGCCCACTGAAAGTACTCGCACTATGTCAACAGGAGCACTAATGTATTATAGGATGGTATTCATTAATTGCATCCGAAAGTACAAACCAGTGTTAGCACCAATGGAGAATATACAGTGTATTAATATGAAGTCTAAGTATTGTTTATTTATACTTCCTTCATTCGAAGTATTGTTTATTTATACTTCCTTCATTCGAAGTATTGTTTATTTATACTTCCTTCATTCGAAGTATTGTTTATTTATACTTCCTTCATTCGAAGTATTGTTTATTTATACTTCCTTCATTCGAAGTATTGTTTATTTATACTTCCTTCATTCGAAGTATTGTTTATTTATACTTCCTTCATTCGAAGTATTGTTTATTTATACATCCTTCATTCGAAGTATTGTTTATTTATACTTCCTTCATTCGAAGTATTGTTTATTTATACTTCCTTCATTCGAAGTATTGTTTATTTATACATCCTTCATTCGAAGTATTGTTTATTTATACTTCCTTCATTCGAAGTATTGTTTATTTATACTTCCTTCATTCGAAGTATTGTTTATTTATACTTCCTTCATTCGAAGTATTGTTTATTTATACTTCCTTCATTCGAAGTATTGTTTATTTATACTTCCTTCATTCGAAGTATTGTTTATTTATACTTCCTTCATTCGAAGTATTGTTTATTTATACATCCTTCATTCGAAGTATTGTTTATTTATACTTCCTTCATTCGAAGTATTGTTTATTTATACTTCCTTCATTCGAAGTATTGTTTATTTATACATCCTTCATTCGAAGTATTGTTTATTTATACTTCCTTCATTCGAAGTATTGTTTATTTATACTTCCTTTCATTCGAAGTATTGTTTATTTATACTTCCTTCATTCGAAGTATTGTTTATTTATACATCCTTCATTCGAAGTATTGTTTATTTATACATCCTTCATTCGAAGTATTGTTTATTTATACTTCCTTCATTCGAAGTATTGTTTATTTATACTTCCTTCATTCGAAGTATTGTTTATTTATACTTCCTTCATTCGAAGTATTGTTTATTTATACTTCCTTCATTCGAAGTATTGTTTATTTATACATCCTTCATTCGAAGTATTGTTTATTTATACTTCCTTCATTCGAAGTATTGTTTATTTATACTTCCTTCATTCGAAGTATTGTTTATTTATACATCCTTCATTCGAAGTATTGTTTATTTATACATCCTTCATTCGAAGTATTGTTTATTTATACTTCCTTCATTCGAAGTATTGTTTATTTATACTTCCTTCATTCGAAGTATTGTTTATTTATACATCCTTCATTCGAAGTATTGTTTATTTATACATCCTTCATTCGAAGTATTGTTTATTTATACTTCCTTCATTCGAAGTATTGTTTATTTATACTTCCTTCATTCGAAGTATTGTTTATTTATACATCCTTCATTCGAAGTATTGTTTATTTATACATCCTTCATTCGAAGTATTGTTTATTTATACATCCTTCATTCGAAGTATTGTTTATTTATACATCCTTCATTCGAAGTATTGTTTATTTATACTTCCTTCATTCGAAGTATTGTTTATTTATACATCCTTCATTCGAAGTATTGTTTATTTATACATCCTTCATTCGAAGTATTGTTTATTTATACTTCCTTCATTCGAAGTATTGTTTATTTATACTTCCTTCATTCGAAGTATTGTTTATTTATACTTCCTTCATTCGAAGTATTGTTTATTTATACATCCTTCATTCGAAGTATTGTTTATTTATACATCCTTCATTCGAAGTATTGTTTATTTATACTTCCTTCATTCGAAGTATTGTTTATTTATACTTCCTTCATTCGAAGTATTGTTTATTTATACATCCTTCATTCGAAGTATTGTTTATTTATACATCCTTCATTCGAAGTATTGTTTATTTATACATCCTTCATTCGAAGTATTGTTTATTTATACATCCTTCATTCGAAGTATTGTTTATTTATACATCCTTCATTCGAAGTATTGTTTATTTATACTTCCTTCATTCGAAGTATTGTTTATTTATACATCCTTCATTCGAAGTATTGTTTATTTATACATCCTTCATTCGAAGTATTGTTTATTTATACATCCTTCATTCGAAGTATTGTTTATTTATACTTCCTTCATTCGAAGTATTGTTTATTTATACATCCTTCATTCGAAGTATTGTTTATTTATACATCCTTCATTCGAAGTATTGTTTATTTATACATCCTTCATTCGAAGTATTGTTTATTTATACATCCTTCATTCGAAGTATTGTTTATTTATACTTCCTTCATTCGAAGTATTGTTTATTTATACATCCTTCATTCGAAGTATTGTTTATTTATACTTCCTTCATTCGAAGTATTGTTTATTTATACATCCTTCATTCGAAGTATTGTTTTATTTATACATCCTTCATTCGAAGTATTGTTTATTTATACATCCTTCATTCGAAGTATTGTTTATTTATACATCCTTCATTCGAAGTATTGTTTATTTATACTTCCTTCATTCGAAGTATTGTTTATTTATACATCCTTCATTCGAAGTATTGTTTATTTATACTTCCTTCATTCGAAGTATTGTTTATTTATACATCCTTCATTCGAAGTATTGTTTATTTATACATCCTTCATTCGAAGTATTGTTTATTTATACATCCTTCATTCGAAGTATTGTTTATTTATACATCCTTCATTCGAAGTATTGTTTATTTATACTTCCTTCATTCGAAGTATTGTTTATTTATACATCCTTCATTCGAAGTATTGTTTATTTATACATCCTTCATTCGAAGTATTGTTTATTTATACATCCTTCATTCGAAGTATTGTTTATTTATACTTCCTTCATTCGAAGTATTGTTTATTTATACTTCCTTCATTCGAAGTATTGTTTATTTATACATCCTTCATTCGAAGTATTGTTTATTTATACTTCCTTCATTCGAAGTATTGTTTATTTATACTTCCTTCATTCGAAGTATTGTTTATTTATACATCCTTCATTCGAAGTATTGTTTATTTATACTTCCTTCATTCGAAGTATTGTTTATTTATACATCCCTTATTCAGAGACCTATAAACGTATAATCTGTATATGTGATTCGGCGACATTAGCAGCATGTTTAACCTCGAGAAAATTTATAAAATATATATTCAGGTTGTTTCAATTTTACTTTTCGTTAATACATACATACATATATATATATATATATATATATATATATATATATATATATATATATATATATATATATATATATGAATAAAAAACAGACCACGTTAAGATTCCATGTAATAAGCTATTTCACCATAACCCTTTAACAGGGTTCTGGATCATCAGACTTTACTTCCAAAAGCTGAAATGAAAAATGAAAAGAAATTCACACCTATATATATATATATATATATATATATATATATATAGGTCTGTGCGTGTGTCTGTTTGTATGTGTGTGTTCTGCGTAATCTACTCGATAAATTATTTCCAACTGATTTTCGTATGTAAATAATAGATAATACTATTTAATATATGCTTTAAAATATTAAAAAGAAAGTTATGTATATGCAAAATAACTGTTTTTATACTGAGTTTTTAATCAAACTTACAATGAATAGCATAATAATTTGGAAATTAAAATGTCTCAAAAATTAAATACTTTTATTGGTGACAATCGTTATTCTGTAAAAGCCAACTGTATACTTACGTTGTATTGCTTAAATCAGTGAGACAGACTGACTTGGATTTAATTGACTTTACGAATACAATACAAACATTTGAATGCTTACAAGTGTTTTAAAAAATGCGAAATGGAACAATGAGAATTTTTAGTTTTGCTTCATTAAACCTATGTCTGTATTTCAGGAATTTTGATTTTGATTTTCACACATGAACATTTAGACGCATTTTTGGTTTTCTTCTTAGTTCCTCATGAGGAAATTTCGCGCGTGTGTACACACATACACACATATACACACACACACATATATAGAGAGAGAGAAAGAGAAAGAGAGAGATACTATGTCAGTCTTTATTATAAGTCAGTCTTTATTATTATGTCAGTCTTTATTATAAGTGAATGGCATTCTATTCATATACATATTTTCACCATATAAATAGCAGTTGATACAGCCGGTGGCTAAAACTATTCGTCTTTAGATTGGTTTGGTATGCCCAAGCTCCGTTGGGGGTGGGGGTGGATAGGTTTATTGCCAGGAGCCTGAAAGAATTGCCGAAAGGACTTGAGAATTTTTGCACGATGCAGCCAATAGACTCTCTTTTAACCTCGACCTTGTGTCACTTCCGTACTCCAAACTAGACCATTAATACTGACCTTGAAAACTAAACTACTAGAAAAATGGTAGTGAATACTTCTAGTTAATTATAGTATTGTGAGACCGGAAACTATCTACACAATAGACTCTTCCAGGCCTATATTAAGTAGGCGACATAGCACTCTACAGAGAGTGACAGCGAGTGACACAGAGAGTCTCGTACTACCAGTGTTGGACACTAACTTATAGTAAGCTCCGCTTACACTATCTCTGTAACCTGTTGTTAATATATCTTTCTTACATCTAATCCGTGTTCCGTGTTTTACTTCTGTGGTCCCAACTTTGGCCCCACATCATATAGCTTACAACATTCTATACAGTACTAATATTTTGCTTCGGATATCAACATGGACAGGTTACTAAAACCTAAAATTCTAGAACTAGATAGTAAGACCCCAGGTCAGAGAAAATATGGAATCAATGGTACCGAACATTTTAAAACTTCCTCAAGCATATTGATGTGAGGATTTGGATATTCCTATACATCAGATGTTCTCTGATGTATACGAACTCTTCAGCGAATGTACAAACTTTGAAGAAGCTATTAACATTCTAAGGAGAAGTTTCGTAAAAAAAAGTGAGATATACGCCAGGCAGCTACTTGCAACCAGAACTCAACAGGCTGGAGAAACCGTGGATCAATATCTTCAAGCATTGCACATTCTGGCGAAGGACTGTGAATTCAAAGATGTTACTGTTCAAGTTTACAAAGAGGAATCTATTAGAGACACCTTTATTTCTGTGTTATCCGCACCTCCTATTCGGCAGAGACTTCTCACCCTCGCAGAAGCTGGAAATCAAGCGTGAAGTGTGGAAAGGGCTATCCTAAATTCTGAAGCCTATTCTGCCAATGCTCAAACAATCGAAACGCCTTAAATTCTCAACAAGAGGAAAATCAGAAGGTGGAGGAGTCTCGGACATTCGCTGCTGAGCAAATCCCTTTTAAAAGAAAGGTGTTTTTTCTACGGGGGTAATAGGCACCCTAGAAGTAAGTACCCGGTTCGAGGAACGAGTTGCTACAATTGCAAGAGGAAGTTCATTTCGCTAAAATCTGTCGTTTGAAAGCTAAGTTTTCTGTTGAATTACCCGTCATAACCACGGTAACTCTTGGGCTACAGGAAGTTTCAAAAGCCACGGTAAAATGCCTTGTAAACAAAAAAAAATATTAACACCGCTAATAGATTCGGGAAGTAGTCATAGTTTTAAAGACATCAAGATAGCTCTTTCTATGGGTTTTGAACGTTAGACCTACTAACTTTATGGCTTTGTCTGACTTATTGTTAAATCTGTAAGAAAATGTAAAGCGAAGCTTACGGTGGGTAGAGAAACTTACAAATAATTTAATAGATAATTTATGTGCTGATGCGATCTTTGGACAAGACTTTCAAGGCCTACACAAAAAATAGAATTTTTATATGAGGGCGACAGACCACCCCTAAAACTGTGTGGGCTAGCTAGTACGCCTATTTCACATCCATTCTGTTTGAAAACCTTTCGCCTGGCTGTAGACCTATATCTGTAAAATCCCAACGATACTCTAGAGAAGGTTAAGCATTTATAAGGAAGGAAATAAAAATCCTGTTGGATTCAGATATCATTGAGCCCAGTAGATCTCCATAGAGAATGCAAGTAGTGGTAACTAAGGACGAGAAACAAAAAAAAGGTTATTCATAGATTATTCACAAACGATAAATTGTTTTACCTTAAAAGAAGCCTATTCTCTACGTAAGATTACAACGATGGTTTCGAAAATATCAAAGTATAGTCTGTACTTTAAACTAAACCTAAAAGTGCCTGTCGTCAAATTACCTTACGTAAAGCAGACCGAACGTACACGGTTTTTGAAGCCTGTGGAAAATTGGATAATTTCAAAAGGATGGCGTTTGGGATCACAAATGGAATGGTTGGGTTTTAAAGAAGTTTGGATGAAATAATCGAAAAGGAAGGCTTGAGGGAACATTCACATATATAGATGACGTGACCATTTGTGGTATTAATGAAAGAGAACATGACACTAACTTGGCAAGATTCAAAGAACTGATTGAAAAGTACGATCTCACATTAAACGAGAATAAATGAGTCTACAGAGTAACGAAAATAACACTTCTAGGCTATGCAGTAAGTAAATGAACCGTTAGACCAGACCTTGAAAGGATGAGACCTACCCAAGGTGATATGAAAACTCAGAAGAAAATCTTCATAATGTCCGCTTACTGCAGATGCTAGATTGTTCTCATTCCACTTTGCTTGCTTTATGGGATATAGTGTGTCAGATCATTTGTATTTCATTGAATCTGAATATATATGGCTTTTCCAATCTACTCGTCCTATGGATTGAACTCACGACTGGGTTTTTCATTATATTATAATTATATATAATGGTATATATAATTATATATAATGGTATATCTACTGATATTTATTGTTTTTTTATTTATTTCAAGATTGCTATGGGTTGTAAAAAAGATATAACTTCAAACGAGAAACAAAATAGTGCAGAATTTGTAATTGCGATAATTCTGAGTAAATATCGTCGAAAATATAAAAAAGAAACTGAAAACATTGGCAAAGTATGAACAAGAAAAAGAAATTGGCTTTAGAATGCCACAAAAAGATTCGAAAATATTAGAAGGATAATAAACAAAACAATGGAATTACCAGCAAACAAATATTTCAAGAAACTGGAGTTGCAAATGTAAACAATGGGAAAAATACACAATATTTGGACATTGGCTAGATATACGAACGCAATTGAACTATTACCTTTAAGTATGCATCACAAAGAGGAAGTTAAACGAAGAAGTATATGAAAGTAACTTCAAAAGAAAAACAATATATTGTAAATTATTGAGTGATGGAAACACAAAGTTGGAAATTGCAAAAAGTGATCACAGAACAATGAAAAAAAAAAGAAACTAAAAACATTTGCACGCTAAATGCAAGAAAAGATCTGGTTTAAAGAATGTCATAAAAAGATATTTAAGAAAACTGATTTCTCAATATTTTTAGTAGTCAATATAGAGCTACATTGGATAGACCTCATGGTTGGACAAGGAGTTATGTCCGTCATAAAAACATTTAATTATACGCAGCAAAATTATAGGTTCATTTAGAATTATTGTAAATTATTTCTAAAGACATTTCAGTGGTTCAGGTCACAGTCAAAAGTTTTAAACTAAAGAGTATATTCATGCAAATCGATGCTCCTTCATATCCTTCAAAGTTGACTATTGTCCACCTTTCCAAAACGGTTTAAAAATCCAAATTAATAGAATGGTTTGAAGCCCCTCCAGATATTAATCCAATGGAAAACTGTGGCCTATTATCAACAGAGATGTACATGAAAATGGAAAACGATACCCAAAAAATAGAAAGCACTATAAATAGGAACATGTTATTGGATGATTTATACCAATTTTATTAGCTTTCTGAGAATATATTTCTAAAGAGTTTTGAATATTCTTCTTCATTTATGTGCCGTGTACCTTCAGGACATAGGCGATCATAGCCCTTCACATCCTCCTGTTCCTTGTTGCTCTTAATAAGTTTTGTCTTATTATTTCTCCCTGACCCTGTTCTGCCCATCCATTTACTCAAGCCCATTAAGTATGTCCCGCTTTCCCCTGTCCCTCTTTCCCTCTATCCGTCATGTGAGTATCAGATTTTCTAAGCCCCCCTTCCTCATTAAGTGTCCCAGTTTCTTCCTTGTTTACATACTCTTCAAAACCTCGTCATTGCACACATGTT